ACGTGTTTTAATGACGATAGGGATGATTCTTCGACAAAAAGGCTGAAGTCCGAAATTTTGAATCCTTTGAGGTACTCGAATTTTTCCACGAAAGCGGGATATGGATAAATGAACTTTGGAAACTTTGGCCCATTCTTTAAGGCTGAATCAATCATTCTATAGACCTCGATCATATCAACGGATGTTGTTTCTGCTCTCTGGTCGGATCTGTTTGATCTACTGCTTGATCCTCCTCTTTTTTCCAACCCAATCATTTTTGGTCGAGCAAATCATGTCTCAGCCTGTATTGTTGACAACAGATTACTTTTAGGTGGCAGTTGTCTGGAACGATCAATGGGTCCACTTTCGTAGGCTTTATTAATCAATAGTTCAAGTAATTTGTTGTGTGTGTTGCCATTACTACGTATTACATCAAGTATGCATTTTATTTCTCGGCTAAAAATCTGAGATTGCTCTTTAAGTCTTTTCGGGAGAAATGATCTAGTCGGTGGATTAGAACCTTTACCACCATCATCATCACAATCCTCTACTATCCCTTCAATTAAAACGCCCTTGGTTTTGTTAGGGGTTTTTGCATTGTGAAGCTGACCCCGAGATAAACTTCATTTTCTCGGTGTGTCGCGCTTGTGGCCTCAGGTGTCACGGTAATAGGAGGATTCTGTGCTTGTGACGTGTCATCTTGTCCTGAGTTCTGGACTAAAAGGTTGGTCGTGGACTTACCCATGACTGTTTTCTTTTTAACCGGTCGTGTCTCAATGGTCATAAACTTCGTAGTTTTAGCACTGAGTCACACCGGGCCTACTAAAATGTTGATCCTAAAAACTACCAAGCCTATGTGGCACGCATGCCGAGTAATTAATAAGCTAACTACGTCATTCAGTTATGTGGGGGCGTGCCAACTCGACGGCTGAGTTCGACCGGTGAGTAAAATATGTGGATGTGGTGTTAAGTGCGCTGCTGACTTCTTGATCTTGCCACTACGGCCGAGGAAGGAACACGTCTCGATCTTTGGGTTCTAGAGCCTGAAGACAAGGCTGCTAATTCTGCAAAGTTCAAATATCAAATTTAGCTGTCAATGTGCCGATTATAGTAACCTGATAACATCTCACTTCTCGCATTATTAGCATTTACTGCTCCAGGCGTGAGTGCTCCATTGATTAGGGAGCCTGCATGTCTTACGGAGGCTACTTCTACGGCGTCCTAGGTGCCCATATCATCAACGTCATTAGTGTCGATTCAGCCACTCAATGCACAGCGGCCTTACCAGCGCTGCCGTAAGCTGGAGCCTTTTGATCACACTTCCTCAACATCCAGAGTTGAAGGTGGGGTCTCCCAGCCAGGTAGTTTTTTCTAATTCTCACTACGTTGTATTTTTTTTTCATTTTAAAACTATTATTTTTATGATTGTGAAAATTTGCTGGATTGTGAAAATGTGTTGCGGGATTGTTATTTTACTGTTTTAAGGTTTTGGGAAATGATATACCATTAGGGGAGGTTTTGCCGAATTTTCTGTAGAAATTTAAGCTTAGAGCGTACGTTTGTTCGCCTCCTTGATCAAGGTTGTGTATGACTCATGACATCGTGGAGCGGCTACCTCACAACAGCATAGCGGCGTCGCTACTAGCTGTGGTTATGTTATTCAGCATTATTGTCCTGTACAGTGGGAGTCTTGGGCACAAATTCCTGAGGAGACGAAGAAACTGGTGCGAGACAAATTGTCAATTAGTATATTAATTTTTAGCCTTTATCATTTTTTTAATTTTTTTAAAAAATATTATAAACCAAACGATATTATCTTAATATTATTAAATTTCGTACTATTATTTTAATGTTTTTCATATTTGTAGGTCATTTATGATCTTCAGGACATATCCACCGAGGTCATGGCCTACTTAAAGGAGACCCTAGCAACCCGGTACAAAAATTGGAAGAGCGATCTTCACGTGCATTTTATGCTATGGGATGATTCGGAGATTGCTCGCCTAGAGGGTCGCCCAGCCAAGTTGGAGGACCAGCCGGAGGATTGGGAGTGGCTTTGCAAACATTTTACGGACCCAAAATTTGTGGTATGTACATAATATTTTAATAATAATTTATTACTATTTTAGTTATTTTTTTAAGCTTTTTTTAATAATTTCTTTCAAATAGTTGCACTAACATGTATATTGTGTGTTTAACAGAAGAAATTTGTTGCTAGCAAGATAGCTCGGGAGTCAAAGACATTTCTCCACCATTCCAGTTCAAAGCCTTTTTCTCGTATAGGCTTGAGGCACGATGTCAGGTAAAAGTATTTTAATTTTGAAATTTTATACAATTTATTTTTTATTATTGATTAATAAAATTTTCTTAATGTTTTTTTCTTCAGGAGGGTTCTAAGTTCCCAGAGATCGGCATGTTCAAGGACGTTTACGTTCGACCCAGTGATGAAACCACTGAACAACTTCATGTAAGTATATGTAATTGTTATTATTCTTATATTTATGAATCTTTCAAATATTATTTACATTTTTTTATTAAACATTATATGTTTTTTCTTTATTATTACAGGGTGCTATGGTGGAAAAGCGCACTGCTGTTCTCCAAGAAGCAACATCGCAGCTTCCCTCGGAGACCCCGATTGAGGATGTCATTGTACCCAATGATGCAAGTTTTCAGATCCTGACTAAGGTCCTAGATCAGAAGTTCAGTCATCGTCATGGCAAGGTTGTTCGATGTATAGGGAAGGTGAGGGTTCATGAAACGGGTGCCTCATCTTCCAGATCGACCATAGGAGAGGTCAATGCCCTAAAGGTGGAAGTGACAACCCTAAAAGGTCAGCTTGCGGTCCATGGAGAGCAAATGAAGGCCCAGGGCGAGCAGATGAGTATGATTGTACGGGCCTTACAGATGTCCGGCCTCCAAATTCCGATGCCAGCACCTAATTTTGCTCCACCTTCGACCTCCCAGCCATTTCGCCCAGTCGATACCCAGTAGCTTGATGTATCAAACTTAGAAGACTACTTGTTGTAGTTTTTTCTTATTTGTTTGGACATCTTGTATGTACATTTTCATATATTTTATAATTAAATACTTTTTCTTGCTTTATTAATTATTGTTTAGAATTTAATTACAATATATATTAAAATTTTAATAAAAAATATTTTTGCCATAAAAAAAAACAAAAAAAAACAAGGGTTTGCGTGATGAAGAAGTAACATGCGTCGTGCAAAGTAGTTTTGTGCGATGGAGGGATCTGTGTCACGCAAATCCTGCTTTCACTGCCTTGGTGCGACGGTTGGCATGCGACGAAGGTTTCATCGCTCTAATTTTCAGGCAACATTTTTTTGCTTTTCGCGACGAAGGACCTGCATCACGCAAAGTGTTTTTTGTACTAGTGAGAAGTAGTCAGAAAACATTTAGTTAATGTTTTCGATTTCTGTCAAATGTTAAATGAACAAAACTAACCAAATGATTTTGTATAGTTTTTCAGTCACAAGAATCACTTCGCTATAGATATTTGGAATAAAAATGTTGAGCTCACAAAGTTAATGATTGTAGATCCCATGACTAACGCTTTACTAGTGGGAGTATTTGTAAGGTATATGTTTCATTTTAGGCATTTATAAAGTAAAAGATTACCTTTTGTATTGAAAATTTGAAGTGTTAGTGGCTAATACTTTAAGAGTAAATTTTGCTTATAAGTTTTAATAAGAGGTCTTGATTTGTAAACAGTATGTCGTATTTTATTTGTTTTTTATCATTTTCTAAATTGACAGAAAAGTTGGATTTTGATACCAACGTTATTGAGTTCTTTTGTGAACGAGTTTTGTTTTGAGGAATTATCCTTTTGTTTTGTTAGTTCTATATATCGTGGCTCTAGTAGTAACATAGTGTTTCAAGTCAAGTGTGCATGTGATCATAGAGTGCAAAGTGCAATTTAGACGTGCTTTGTTTTCCATGGTTCTGCAGTTTTCTTGGAATGACAAGTTACTGAGCAGAGTAGTTGCAAGCTTTTGTAGACTCAATGATCATCATGAGTCTTATCATGTTAAGGTATATCATTGACATTCAAGTAGGAGAATGTAAAACTTTATATGAATGACAATAAGATAACAACTGGACTGCTTGAGTTACACATAACTTGTTGTATGACAGGGACTTAAGGAGTCTAAGATCCTTTACATGATAAGAATCGTGGAGTTTAATAATTGTGCAACTAACTAATTGAAAGTCTTATTAAGTAATTTGTTACTGATCTATTTGTCCTTGTTGGTAATCCTAACATTGCGTTAGTAATATTTTTAGCTTAACTCTTATGTGATTCTTACTGTTACTCGTTCAAGCATTGAAGCTGAATATAGAGTTATGCCTTCCGTTTCTAGCGGATTAATGTGGTTCCGAAGACTTTTAAATGACTTGAACTTTGAAGATCCTCAACCCATAGGCCATGCCTTTCTTTTGTGATAAGCATATCGAAGTTGGCTGGCATTTTGTTTGAGAAAAGATTGAATCAAACATTCAAACAACTTGCATCTACAGTAATGAGCAGTTGCTGGTGCCGTAAGGACAGTGTTGGAATGATCAAATTAATTATTGATTGATTTTACAGTTGCATATGCCAAGAGCACCAGATGTAGCAATTTATTTCCGGCACGTTTTCGTCTCCATATCATCAAGCGTCTCGATATTGTTCTACCAGAACCTCCGATGACATAGGTCAATTTCTGAATCTCGAAATTCTTCTTCTGATGTATTTCTTTATTGCGTTATTTGTTTAATTTCTTATATCTTCATCAATTTCATGTTTTGCTACTCGGGCGGCAGATCCAGAATTCTGTCTGGCAAAAGACATTTTTAAGCAACAAAGTAATGTACAAGGTATTTGAAGCCTTGGTTCTTTCAATCTGACGAATGATTAACTGTCTGCCGAAAGTCTCGTTGTTTAACATAATTAATTTAGATAATAAAAAAAGAAAGCTCTAAAAAGAAAAGGAGAGAAGGGACAAAGTATCCTATTGGAATATATATTCATGTATGAGTTATTATTAAGATTATAAATGTTTCTTTGCACCCACCTCTCTAAGTTTTCCTCTACTAATAATCTTGAGCATAGAAGTCTATAATTTCCTTAAGATTGAGCTCAAACAAAGAAGAACAATCATTATACATCAACCACAACATGTGCTCGAACAGAATAGAATCAACATCCACAAAAATCATCCTACTTCCCTTACCAGTCCGATCATCAAAATTCTCCACCTTCTTGTCCTTGTTCATCGTCTCCATCAAAACCCGAAAAGGGTTCTCTTCTAGCACAAATGGGTCTACCAAGAACTCCTTCTTCTCCTTCCCCACCACCACGATCACCGGATTCTCTGAGTTGCCATACCTATCTTTGGTTAAAGGCCGGTAGCCTTGTAGCCGTGTCCCCATGCACCTCTTTTTCAGCATTGAGATTGGCAAGACCAAGCAAGCCATTGAAACTGAACAAATGAGTTGTCTAAAATATATACAACATAGGATATGATATCAGACTGTATATATATGTGCTTGTGTGTGTATATATATGTGTTTTGTGGCTAAATGGGGTTCTAGGATATGCTTGTTACATTTGGAAGTGAAAGCAAAGGCATTTATAGGTAAAGAGGGTGATTGAATTGGCCAGGCAACGGCTACAAACAGAAAGAGGTTTAATTTTTTATTTTTTATTTTTAATTTGGATTAAGAAAGAGTGGTTTTGTACTTATAAGTGTTTTATATGGTTTGATGTGTCGCTTTGCCGGCAAAAGAGCCGTTGGAATAATCGCTTTGGTGGTAGGAGATTAGGAGTTCGACTGGGACTTGCCGAATAGGAGGCAGCTGTGGACTGCGGGCCTACCCGCGCCTGCTGGTTGTTGGCGCGTTCCTCATTGACATTGTTATCAACAGAAACTTACAGAGAGTGTGATCGGGTCGGTGGTCTATTGCCAAAATGCATGACTGAATTGGTTGCTTCAAATTTAACTTTAACTCTTCATCTTCAAATTTAAGTAACTTAGAGTTATATTTTTAAAATAATATGATTAATATTGGGTAAAGATTTACATTCTTATTTTTCATTTACAGTAAAAGGGTTTTACTTTGAGATTCTCCTTTTTATAAATTTGTTTACTACATACACAAAAATAAGTTACCAAAATTACGAGAAAAAAGATATTTACAAACAAATAATTTGTTTGATGCATTCAATATGAAAACAAAATATCGATAGTTCTAGTAGGGTCTCCATTTTATCAGTGATTAAGTTTGTAGTATGATGTTGTACATATAGTATTACACTCCATAACAATATCTCTTGACTAGTCCCATTCAAAAACGACATGCCAACTAAAACGTTGAATGACCAAGTCCTAAAATCGTATTTTAACAGTTAGATCAAATACAAAGAGTATGCGTATACATGTACCATTTGGAAAGTAAATGAGTCATAATTATTAGTTAGCACCATGCTTGGATCATTAGCAAGTTAATTAGTTTAATAATTCAAACTAAGGTAGACTTATGAGCCATACCATTCCTTTCCACTTGCCTTCCTTGACTCTAACAAAAAGAGAGGGTTTGGACCTGAGAAGATTGAATAATTCATGTGTACACAAAATTTGATGAAAATCGGCCATCATTATTTAATTAAATGGCACTTAAAATCGTGACAAGACAGACCTTAAAATCTGATGGGGGACTAGAAATTGTAATTTATAACGAACACATCACCATTTAAGATCGCTCCGATCAACTTTTTTAATCAACTCCTCACCCCAAAGGTGGCAGAGCGGATTTTGACAATCGAAAACCAGCCAGACTTCCGGCAAGTAGAAGAAAATAGGGGCCGGAGCAGATTCCACGACATGAGATGAATGAAAATACAGTGAGCCAACTGAAACAGATCGAGAAGTGGTCATAATTAAAATGCAATTTGCAACTCATGAGAACCTAAAGAACAGGCGGCGTATTCTCAGCTATCAACAATAGCCATGATTCAATCATATGTAGAGTGAAGACGAGGAAGAAGAAGAAAAAAAAAAACTCAATAATCTAGAACTAAGATAACCCCTCGGACTTGGAGTTGTTTTGGACAATGAAGGATGTCAATCGGCATTTGAAATTACAACGCAGTGAGTCAAATGCGGTCGCTGTACTGGTAAACCGGCTGGGAAGCATGATCATCTTCTTAAATTTCCTCACTGTTGAGCTTGACCCCATAACTGATACATCTGCATATTATGAATGGGTTGATTAGCATTACTGTAGAGCACAGGTCCCCTGTTGCTGTTGTTGAGAGGACTGCTTCCATTCTCGTCAGATGACTCGCTTGACCCTCCTCCTTGAGAGGACGGGCTCGCTGCTGTCATTGGCGCACCAAAGTTCAGCATCTGTGATGCTGGGGGAGAGGAAGTTCCCGATTTTACTAAGTTGGAGTTGGATTTTTTTCCGTCAGCAATGAAACTACCCACAATCACCTGGAGTTAAAATTCAAATTGAGTTAAGAGAGTAACTTGATTATTCCTGTCAAAAAATTCTCAATACAGTTAACTCGAAAAGTTTCTCGCCCTGAATATCCTTTACAACTGCAGAAGGTGAAGATAGTCATAATTTTATATAACTGATACGCTTGGCAAATAGTAGCAAAGTGGTACCTGTACTGGTGATGCTGCCATAAGCATGCCAGCAACTCCACCTCCCAAAACTTGACCATCAGACCCTGCTAAGGATACACTCAAACCACCACTTCTGCTGCGATTCCCATTATTTTCAGAAAACAAGTAGGAACCTGACAGAGAAATAATCTCATATCGACCCTGCAAACAAAAACACAGAGATAATAAAAATGACCGCAAAGAATAAATAAATAATTAAAAAACCAAATATAAAAAAAGAAGCAGCCAGGTATATAAGACTGTTGAACAGAAAACACAAGAAATGGATCGCGTGACTACATAACATCGAGTGCTCAAACAAATTTGTAATTCCGTGGACAAAGGGCCAACCCACTTGAAAGGGTATTACATTACCAATGTATTGATCTGTGTTAGTGCAGTGGACATGAAAGTGAGTCATGCTTGTGGCAAAGGAGGAGTAATTCATCAGAACTACTCCAATCGATAATAAAGACTATTTTAATTTACAGTAGCAAGTATTTAAATCATAAATGGAAGAAACTGCTACCCATTCTACAAAAATAAAAAATAAAATTAAAACAACTCATTCTCTATAAACAACATATTTTGGAAGTGTACTAGAAGGTTTGAAGTGATGAGCTTCAGCTGCATACGCTAAATCTTCAAATCGTGAGACCACTTTAGGTTCAATGGTTAGCACTGCATTTCATTATCTGCCTTGTTACAGATCAAAGAGGTAACCCTACTATGTTTCCTTAGCTCGCCCAACATCAGATAAATAACTCTTATGAGCTCAAATGTCTCATAGCACAAGTTTCCTAACTCAATGGAGTTTATGTTAAACGGAAAACTTCTATTGGTCACAATGCGTGGTGATTCACGCTTGAATTTTATATCAAGGGTTGAAATTAAAACTTCAAAAGTACATCCAATTATTCTGCACCATGATATCTGTTAGCCTCAATTATCCTACAACGAGAATATACAGTGCAAGCTTATGAAGGATACAACCTATAGCCTACAAACAATAAAAGTATATCATTATTGGAGAAAACAAGGGAAAAATACGGTTCATTTTCACAGCAACAACAGCATTGCAGTCTAGAAATAGCAGAAAATGAACTGTTGCAAAGGAAGATGATCAACTTGAGATGCCACCACTCCACACTAATAACTTCAAAATGACTTCTTTTTTTCCTAGATCATGACACATATTTAGACGGATAATGTTTTTCTAAAAGATACAAAAAAAGTAAATATCAGCAAAATCAAGAAGAGGAGGATAACAACATAGCTCCACACAAGTTTGTAAATCTTTGATTCTGTTATCTCAAGTCCACTCAAACAAAATTCTTGTGCTACAGGTACTGCAGTATCACAGTATGCACATAATATACCAAATATATGTTCCAATCTCCATTCAAATATAACTGTTATAAAAACATCAAAGGTACCTCATATGTGACAGTACCACCAGACATTGCTGGCTGGCGAAGGGTAACATTGCAGATGGCACCATTTGCAGAGAGAATACAAACTGTGCGTGGTCCCTGCTGTGAAAAGGCCATAACCTTTGCTGCTATATCCTGCAAACCATAAGGCCAAACAAATGAAAACGAATACCATAACTGGACAAATTTATTATCTTAATTTAACTATGCAGAAAACTCAACTTGGGATTCAAAAATGGAAAATGAGAACATAGTCCTGAAGGCTAAAATACCAAAAATCAGTCCATACAAAGAAATGCTATATACATTGTCTATTTTACCCAATTCAAGTGTGTGACCATTCTGGTTAATTAAAGCAGACTCGGACAAAAAAATATCAGCATCAACAAAAATGATTATATATATAAAAGAATAATCCTGTATATGGTCCAATGATGCAGATCAATGCAAAAACAACCCAAACAACCCAGGTTATCTCAAATGTTTCTACTCCAATTCCACAGCAAGGGAATCGAGTAATTATAAATGATCATTTCACCCAACAGCAAAAAAATTATAAATTTACATAGAAACCATGATCATTGGGTCGAATAATGGTTCTGTTTCTATGCAGAGACAGTCATATGTACTAAGGAACTAAAGCTTACAAATTGAATGTTAAATATAATGCATGCAGAAACCCATCGTTAAACTGAGCTACAATTATGTTTGATATACATCATTGGGGCACAATGGAAACAAAAGGAAATCATATTCATTCATTGAAATGCAGGTTTAGAGAGATCTGACAAGCCATCGCTTATAGGGATGTGCAAATCATGGTCACTACCAATCAACCCACCCCAGTCGAGGCAAGCTGAACCAAGTTTAAGATAATTATAGTAACTATCTGTAAACCAATAAAACCAGGTGTCACATACTAATGTCTAGTACTAAATACTGATGTGACTACTCCCACACCAACACCCACTTAGCCTTAATCCCTCTTCGATTTTCATCAAAAAAATTATAATTCTTCCTAATTCTCCAGCCTTTACTAACTCTCTAGCTTTACTTCCTGCCAGCATTACAGAGCCACAAAGCCACTTGTTCAAACACAGCCCTGCCTATATCAGTCTCCTCTCAACTAATCCCTACTTATCTCAATTTCTCTCCTTCCTCTCTCTCACCAACCCACCCTCTCATTACTTCCTTTGTCTGCACCAGTCGCACTGCTTCCCTTGCTCTTTTCTTCTTCCTAAAGTGGATTATTTTTTATATTGATTGAGGGTTTTTATACAGAAGTTTGGAACACTTATTTAATTTATTTTTTTTTCTAATTTGTCATTCTTTCTTAATTGTTTTTCCAATGATATTGATACAAAATGTATTTTCAGCACTGTACCAAAAGTGTGAATATTTAAGACATTTACAATGACAACATCCAAAAGAAACTTTAACAAGAGACAAAAGTAATCCATAACATAAACAATCATAACAAAAAAACCTATTAAGTGGTATCTTCATTTGTTAAAACAAGCAGGATATAAGTGGTGCAGCCATTTACTACAA